CACACACACACACAGATTGAGTGTATGAGGCTAGGTGGTGTGGTTAGAGCCAGATCTTGCTCTCTGCTCTCCTGAGTGCAATTGGTAACCTGAGCTGCCTGTTTGAATAACTCACTTATCCCAAACGCTTCCTCGCGGCAGAGACAAATGTTAATATGAGAGTGCCCAGACATACTTTCCCTTAAGTAATGATAATTATTGATTCTACTTAAATCTTTAAGATTCAGTACTTTACAAAGCTCAAATACAGGACAGTAATTTGAAAAAAAAAAATCAAAAAGGTGCAAAAGTGGGGTTTTGTGGAGAAAATATGAAAAGTTAGTATCTTACCTGCTGTAGATAGCTCTTTGAACAGCGTCAYTTCATACAATAGAGTTTTATCCTGACTGGATTAATAAAACAATAGCTAGTCTGAAATTAAAGTGAACAGTCTACAACTTAAAACAAGTCCAAATTTAAAAAAGTGTATTTGTGATTAATGCAAACACTAATTTAAAAACTGTGATGGACTTGCGACCTGTCCAGGGTGTACCCTGCCCCTCGCACTGTGACTGCTGGATATGGGCACCAGAGACCCACGCAACCCTGAAAAGGAAGAAGCGTGTACAGAAAATGGATGGATGGATGGATATTTTAAAAACTTTTAAATTGCCTTCAGTTTTGCATTTAATGGTAATTTAAATTGGACAGCACTTTGGGGCCTTTACTAGGAAGAGATTGTGTATTTTTTCTGTGCACACATATTACTCAGACTAGCCATAATATCTTCAATGCAAAACATTATTTTGCCTAACTGTGAWTGTTCAAAATGCTATCTGCAACAGGTAAGATATTAACAACTCATAATCTTCACAACACTGTGATCTATTGCTTTAGCACAGTTATYTTTTAAAGTACAGACAGTTGTACATGTTATTTACTGCTGCGTGGCAATTTTTCCACTGAAATGTTCACTCAAAAAGAGCACRGTCTGCTTTGATTAGTTATCAGTCTGGTTAAAAATGAAGGAACTTTGATGCAGCTGCTTAATTTGGGATGAGCTATATTGGCCAGTATCCAAACATGTTTCAGGGCATTGTTGTTAATATTCAAATGCATTTCAGCTGTTTTAATTACAGGATTTCGGGTGCAAGGATTCATTTATTTATGCACGGAGGTTATGTTCACCTTGAAGATGTTCCTCAACAAAATTCAAAACAACCAAAAGTGTTCAAAATTCTAATCTGTCCCAAAATGTCTCCCAATGTGTTTGATGCTGTTTAAAGATTTTTTTTTAAATTTCATTATGACCTTTTCCATTTTTTTTAGTAATCCAGCAAGATTATTAAAAACCRACTGGACTAAATTTCTTGAACCAAAGCAAATATTTGCATTTTGGACATTAGGAACATTCAGTGTGCATTGCCAATGCAATGCACACTATTATGATTCGTTTACCATCCAAGTCATCTCCACTTTG